CGAAATGCAAGACCGCGAAGCTGAACCTGGCGGCGGCGCAGAACCGGCTTCGTGGACTCGGCAGCCGCACACATGGGCGCCTTCAAGCTAAACCCGGGCGCCCACGAGCTGTCCCCGGGCCAAAGCTCGGCGTTCACGTCTCAGGGCCCCGGAGCCTACCCGGGCTCCGCCGCAGCTGCCGCCGCCGCCGCAGCACTCGGGCCCCACGCCGCGCACGTCGGCTCCTACTCCGGGCCGCCCTTCAACTCCACCCGGGACTTCCTGTTTCGCAGCCGCGGCTTCGGGGACTCGGCGCCGGGCGGCGGGCAGCACGGGCTGTTCGGGCCGGGAGCTGGCGGCCTGCACCACGCGCACTCGGATGCGCAGGGCCACCTCCTCTTCCCCGGCCTCCCTGAGCAGCACGGGCCGCACGGTTCACAGAATGTGCTCAACGGGCAGATGCGCCTCGGGCTGCCGGGCGAAGTGTTCGGGCGGTCAGACCAGTACCGCCAGGTGGCCAGCCCGCGGACTGACCCCTACTCGGCGGCACAGCTCCACAACCAGTATGGCCCCATGAATATGAACATGGGTATGAACATGGCAGCGGCCGCGGCCCACCACCACCACCACCACCACCACCCCGGTGCCTTTTTCCGCTACATGCGGCAGCAATGCATCAAGCAGGAGCTCATCTGCAAGTGGATCGACCCCGAGCAGCTGAGCAATCCCAAGAAGAGCTGCAACAAAACTTTCAGCACCATGCACGAGCTGGTGACCCACGTCTCGGTGGAGCACGTCGGCGGCCCGGAGCAGAGCAACCACGTCTGCTTCTGGGAGGAGTGTCCGCGCGAGGGCAAGCCCTTCAAGGCGAAATACAAACTGGTCAACCACATCCGCGTGCACACGGGCGAGAAGCCCTTCCCCTGCCCTTTCCCGGGCTGCGGCAAGGTGTTCGCGCGCTCCGAGAACCTCAAGATCCACAAAAGGACCCACACAGGTAACTGCGGTCCGGAACAGGGACGGGACGCGGAGGGGAGAGAGGCTGTGGTTGATTTGCTAAGAGAAACGCAGCGACCGCCAGCCTTTACTCGGGGACGGGAGATGTGTTTTTGTGTGTGTGCAAAGAGAGCCGGCGGCTTGTTTTTGTTGGAAAATGAAAGCATATCCCTGGGCTGGGTTTTTCCATGTGTGGAAATTGAGTTTTAAATAACCGGTGTCACATCAAATGTATGCTTTGGGTGATGCAATTGCTTCACCCGGCTCATAATTGCTCGGCCCGGTTAATAATTTCCGTTCTAAATAGAGCGCACAAAATAAAACTGCTCTCCAACTCCGTGCCCGGGAAGGGAGCCGAGAGCGGATTTGCCAGCTTGCCTGAATGTGCTTTTCTGCTTCGGGTGGGTCTGCTTGAGTGGCTTGTGTGTTTTGCACTTATTTTCCTCGCGGTCCAAAACGTCTTTACAGGACTGTTTCCCATTAAAATGAGTCTGGTGTGAGCCCAAGCGGTAAAGCATTCCTAATTTTTAAAGCCCATCGCAGGGTTGGTCTCGAGGCTGTACGGCGAGATCGCAGTAGTTTGGGGCATTCTCTAATGGGTACCAGAGGGTTTGAGATTCCAAACTTGGACCTACAACCCCGTTAGCGAGCGCCCGCGGCAGCGCGGCCCGAGGAGCAATCGCGTGACATGAGAGAGCCGCCAAAGAACGCGCCTCTCGCCTCGTAGATAATTCATCCATGACCAGCCAAGATCGTGCCAGACGATTTCCTAAAAGAAAGCCAAATGTTTTAGCAACTTCCCCCGTCAATATTTACTCCGAAGTGGGGATGCGCCAGCGGCCTATTGTTCTCTTCCGGGAAGGGAGGGAGGCGAGGTGCGAGACAAGCGCTTAACAAGGTTTAAAATTTGAGAAATTTATTTGCATGAAACGCTTGCTTTCGAGTCCTGGGTCTGAGCGGATGTCTTTAAAAAACAATTTAGGTGCTAATGGAATTTAACGTTAAATGGTCCCGTTTCCAAGTGGAACAATGTCAGTTCTCACACCTCTAAATGACTCCAAGCGCTTGGAATTCTGGCAACAGGATGCAGGGGCCGCCAGAAAATTAACAGGAAGATTTTTGAAAGCCTTTGCTCATGCCCCCACCCCCACTGCCCAGCCGGTGCCTCTGCAATCTCGAGATGCTGCCTTATCTCTAATATTTACATTTTCCTCAAACTTATTTTAAAAAAATAAAAATAAAAAAAACTGGGACCGAGTCTAGAATTATGGTTAATTTAATTTGCAGAATTTTGGATGAAGAATACTGGCTCAGTCACTATGCACAGCCCGTCCCCAAACAACATACAGCAACTCCAAATCTAATTGCCTACTGGCCCCCGAGAGAAACCGACAGCAGCCCTGCAGTCTGTGTGATTTTCATAATGCCCCAAATATTTTGTCATAACAACAGCTTCTCCATGGCCAGACTAACTGGTTGGAAGCTTACAAATCCAAGAAGCTCGGTGGAAAGGCGGTGCTACCCCAGATTAAACATTTGAGGAAATGGGCGCCCGTCTGAAAGGAAGTAAAATATGAAATAAATGCGCAGGACCGTTAAGTAGAAAGGGTTAATTTCTTCTTCGTTCTGCCACGGAGGGGACCCATCTGTTGAAGGGACCCAGGCCCTCCTCGCTCTTCTTCCCTCCTCGCGGAGCCTTTCCCCCTCCAGGGTGGGTGGGAGAACCCCAGGGGGCCTGGGTGTCCACGGAAAGTGCCCATGTTTGCCTTCCACAGGCGAGAAGCCGTTCCAGTGTGAGTTTGAGGGCTGCGACCGGCGCTTCGCCAACAGCAGTGACAGGAAGAAGCACATGCACGTCCACACCTCCGATAAGCCCTATCTGTGCAAGATGTGCGACAAGTCCTACACGCACCCCAGCTCTCTGCGGAAGCACATGAAGGTACCACCGGGGAGGCGGGCAGGAGGGCACCTCGGCCGGCCGCCTCGCCGGCTCCCGACCAGCCCGAACCACCTCGGCCGGCCTAGGAAGGCCTGGG